GTCCGGTATGGGTGCAACACTGAGGGTTGCGATCCGTTGCCGGACACGAAAAAAGACAAAACAAAAAAAAAAGAAAGAAAAGAAAAGTTTACAAACTAGGATCCAAGAGGGAGCAGCACATGCAAAGGCCCTGGGCTGGAGTACAGGGCCTGCTGAAGGCGCCTGCTGGGTGCAGGGAACAGCTGGGAAAGGGACCAAGGATCCCAGGGAGGCCAGCAAGGACCTTCCGTAAAGCCCAGTGCAGCCAGCTGCTGTGTCAAAGACGTTTTCCTGTCTTCTACTGGAGCCAGAGATGACAAATGTCAGAGGAACCTGGGGCGGTGATTAAGGGAGGGGTGACCCAGCTCCCATTAGGGGCCACAACTGGGGCTTTCACTGGAGACCCACATGAGCTCTGTGCTGGATGCCCTGGCCCACCACACGCCTCACAGACAGTCGCAAGAACCCGGCTTGTCCCGAGGGGGCAGCGGAAGAGGCTTATCAGAAAGCACAAGAGAAGCACTTGGGAGCCTCATCACGTCACCCTGGCCCTGGGGGGTCCCCAGTTTCACCCCATCACTTCCCTCTTACCCTGCTTAAGGCTCTGGGAGGAATCCAGCCCCAACTCCTGGTAACCACTTCTCCCAGTAAAGGGCCTCCGGTGGAGAAGAGACGTTTGGTCTCTAAAGGACTCCGGCACGTTGTTTTAGCTCAGAGTCATTCCCGCAAGGTCCACAGAGCTGATTCCATCTGAAGTGCAAGAGGTACAGATGACAGCCCCCACGTCCCGACCACCAGCAAATTTCTTTAAGGGCCCTGGAGAAGCCAGACTTCAGATCCCCCACTGCCCCGAGCTCCGCCCACATGGCGTTGCCTCAGGATGCTGGAGGCGGTGGCCGTCCCAGGCCCCCCACCGGATGCCTCCTCCAAAGCAACCCCCAAACCCATCCACTTCGTGGGACTCTCCGCGTGCCACAGTGATCTCCGGGCGTGGGGCTGGGCCACCCTCCTGCCACAAGCACTTGGTGGTCCCTTCCTCCGAATCTGACAGCAAGGCTGCCACCTTGCTCACTCCGGGGGAGGTCAGGAAGGCAGGGAGCTCAGTGGGGAATACAGAGACCTGGGCTGCCATCACTGCCATTGCAAGTTCCTTCCTGTAAGTCCTAGCGCGTCACCCCCTGTGCCTTCTCAGTCACCCACGGAAGCCCTGCACCTACAGAACACACCCCCCACCCCGGCCCTTTTGCTCAGAGTTCCTGCCTGTGCAGGCCCCCTGGGGGGGACACAGGCTGTCCTGCATCTGAGAAGAGCAGATGAGCTGGTGCCCCGACGGTTGGGGAAGAGACCCAGCAGAGTCTAGTCCCCCGCCCATTGGGCTCGGCAGCAGCCCTGAGCCCCCCACCCCCAGGCCTGTGGACCCTCTGATAAAAGAGAGTACCCAGCACTGGCTGTCCCATGCCAGCTCCCGTGGAGCTCCTGCTGGGGGCTCTGGCCTGGCCCTGATTCTGAGTGGCAGCAGCTCTGGGTCTGTCCGTGCCACTGCCTGAGCAAAGGGTCTGGGCCTGAAGGTTTAAAAACCAATAGTCACCCTGTAGTTCTCAAAGTG